TTTTAGTATGCGATATCTCCGTCAATTAAAAACCGATTTTAATGATCCGTAGACGAGATGAATTTTTAATTTAACTTTCTAGACGACATTCGAGATTGTGGTATTCCTTAATCTACTCAAATAGTCATAAAATTAAACTTGTAATATAAGCCGACTTACTAGAATAAAATAATTTTCGCATAAAAGCTTCTAAAGTCGGTGCTTTAATACTTCTTAGTACCGGCTCTTAAAGCTGTTATCTGAAAATTATTTATTCTTTGTAGTTATTTGAAGTCGGCTTTTGCTTTTAATTGAATATTTTTTGCAAATTTAGATGTTCTTTTAACTTAATCTTAAAAGTATTATGCGTGGTAGAGCCACGCTGCAGCTCGACCGGGGAAGGATCACGCTCTCACAGAATACCAGCGTAAAATAGCAACATCAAGCTGCTGTGTTTCGTATGGTGAGTGTAGAGAACCGAAGACCCGTTTTACTGGAATGGGGGCATTAAATTTTAATCCTCAGGGGTGACAACGCATCTGCATGTTGATTCTTAACCGAGTTTAAATGTAGATGTCTATGGGCCACAGCATCCATTTACCATCAGGTGGACTGTGTGCGTTTGTCACACTTATTTTATTTAAAAAAAAGCGCGAACTATATCGCAATTCGTGAGGGCATTGTTTTCAACCGTAGGCAACTATCAACTAGGGTTTTTACAGGACTTTGTTTAGTGATAAATTCAAGTAGGTATGCTCTCCTTAATATTTACTGAGGTTTTCAGCTTTGAGTGTATAATCATTATCACTATTATCACCCATCACAAGTTAATTGCTGAACATTGGCCCTCCCCCAACGTCGAACGAGGCAGTCCCACGAGAACGTTTCTCCTATCTGTTGTCGCTACTTCAAACTATATCGGTCATTCCGAATCTACTGCGGATATCTCCATTAGGACATTAGGTCGAGTAATAATAGTAAATTTACCGAACTTTCTGAAGTAATGTTAGTTATAATATGCAAGTAGCTCGTTATAATCTCGTTGGCCTCAATAAAATTATTATTTATGATTTTAAGTGCTGTTTTACCATGTACTTAGCGATGAAAGAAAAATCATGACGAAATCTCTCATATCGAAGACATATGAATTCCGCTAATAATGATCTCCGGACCGAATCAGATTCGGTCACTGTGGCCAGTCGCAACGGAGTACAACCATCTGCACAGGACAAGATTTTAGTGCCCAAGTGTATACACAAGCACAGATGCACTCTCTATTCCCTCACTCTCTTAGTCCAATGGGACGATAATCCGACACGACCGTATGTAGACCAGGCGCAGGACCTACGGCTTTAAGTGCATTTCGTGGCACGGGGGTAAAACATCGCCAACTTCCTAACTTCGGGGTGCTACTGAGAATTTCTCGACAAAAAACCAAACTGAATTTGACCCGACCTCGGATTCGAACACATGACTGCATGACTAGCAACAGCGTTTACAATTTCACAAAAACCTACGAGGCTAAGAAGAGCAGCGCAGTGGACTAATCCTATACCTTTAAACGAGCAATTCTTGTATATATATATATATATATATATATATATATATATATATATATATATATATATATATATATATATATAATCGGAATCTCGTTAGGATTTATTTTTAGAAAATGTTTTTGTGTCAGTCTTTTCAGATAATGAAAAACTGCTACAATATAAGAAGGTAAATTTTGACACAGTGTTAATGATCGTAATAGCTCAAGTGGATATCGAGCGGCGGCGGAATCTTAACGCCTTGGTTCGCGTCCCGTCTTTGGTCCGATTGTTTTCCCTTTTTTTTAAAGTTACCTTCTTTTATGAGAAAATCCATTATTTCGAGCCCCTTTTTTTAGTACTTTTTAAAAATACGATAATTTTAATTAAGCTAATTGCACTCATGATTTTTTATTCAAATAATCAGTTCAGTTTTTTCTATTATGTCAATAAGATCAAAAAATATCATTCATCAGTATGTAATTTGTATCTAAATGTAATTTCAAAAATGAAAAACTGCTACAATATAAGAAGGTAAATTTTGACACAGTGTTAATGATCATAATAGCTCAAGTGGATATCGAGCGGTGGCGAAATCTTAACGCCTTGGTTCGCGTCCCGTCTTTGGTCCGATTTTTTCCCTTTTTTTTTAAAGTTACCTTCTTTTATGAGAAAATCCATTATTTCGAGCCCTTTTTTTAGTATTTTTTAAAAATACGAAAATTTTAATTAAACTAATTGCACTCATGATTTTTTATTCAAATAACCAGTTCAGTTTTTTCTATTATGTCAATAAGATCAAAAAATATCATTCATCAGTATGTAATTTGTATCTAAATGTAATTTCAAAATAAAAACCGAGCACGGCTCGGTGATCCGGGTATTTTCTTCAAGACCGTGTCAAAAATAAGAAAAGGGCTTTGGCCAGGAGTGGGACGTACTACTAAATAGACAAGAAAGAAACCCTATCAGAATATCCTGCGCAATCAACAGTTTCTAAATGTATCGCAAAATGTCGTCGTGAGAAAAGCTGAAAAGGTCGCTTATTTATATTATCTTCGATATCGTATTGAACGATCTATACTTTTTGAGTAGTTTTAATGTTCAATAATAAACCCGATGAAACGTAACGTAATCGAATCACTTATCTGAGATTGGTATAGGATGAAATTTCTACACAATTTGTGCTGCTCTGTTAAAATAAAATGGAATTCTTATAACAAAAGGATAAGGTTTCTATAGATGAAAATATTATTTTCTTCTATAGAAGCCTTATCTTTCTTTATTACGACGTTGTAAAGTTTGAGCATTAAGTTTTTAAGTTTTTTCTTGGTCAAAAAGTTCAGTTCTGCTTCTGAGTGATGTTTACGATTAAATAAGTTACCGTTAACAGACTATCAAAATCTAATGCTGAACATAGGCGGGTATATTCGCCATAGTTGTCACGCTTGACACACTCCTGGTGTTGGTGACTACAGTTTTTTTTTTAATTTTGCCACGTTTTTATTAACTCGCCATCGTGTACGTCTGTTCGGATCAAATGTAGTAATTAATTTTAAACCTACTTCCTGATTAGCTAAGGACTTGAAGTTTTGAACGGAACTCAGAATTGGGTGACAATGTAAGACAAGAAGAAGTTTTATATTAATAATAATAATCATTTATTTCGGACATCTAGATAGCTAGATCCATACGTTACAACATACGTTATTACATAATAAAAGAGTATTTGACGTAAGATAAGAGTCTATGACTTTTATACTTTTATTCCGTTTTAAAAACATGGTATTTAAAAAAACATTCCGATTGACATCTCCTGACTTATTTCCCTATTACAACAGCCACGGGACTATATGGGGTAGTGTATATTCTTAAACCGCCATTAAAGGATACATTATTAAATAAATGAATTATAATAAAATTGATACTTAATATTTTCTTCGAAGAATTAATAAAATAATATATTTTTTACACACATACAACATACATTCATTACAGGGTGACCACCCTAATTCGACAATGTAGCCAACAATACAATACGACAACGACTAAAAACAAGTAAGTAAGCAATATTGCAAATAAGTAGGAATTTCAATTCAAACATATACAAAATATAACAAAAACCTTGTGGTGTCCATTAGGTGCGTTATCAGAAACCACAATAGTAAAATTTACAAATAAAAATTTATTTAAAAAAATTCTGGTCATGATTTCTGAAATAAAGTTATTCCAATGTATATAATCAGTATATAGTTCGAAGAAATCACAGGGTTTTTTCTACAGGTTGTATTGTATACACACACTGATTAAATTTGAAAAAAAGTAGCGAGATATCTATGTAAAGAAGATGTAATAAATAAAAACATATAAAGAAGAACGCTTGAGAACAATCAAAGAAAACATCTAAGGCAAATTCCTTAAGAAGGAAAGTAACAAAAAATTGTAGGATTCATTAAAAATAAAAATAAAAGAAAAAAGAAGCATACGAAGAAGTCAAGGGCTATGCCTGGCCGAAACAAATCGGTGGTTTAACAATAACTTCGAGTACTAGAGCAACAGAAAGGAATTAGGGTTACAACGAGCAACCAAGGTTCCATAGAAGACACAAGACATACCTCGTGTATTGTTTGGATAATACAGGATTTATAGAAAAACATCGGGCACTAGTTGGAGTCAATTAAGTTTTAATTATTTCATTGCAATAATTTATCCAAAGATATACAAATTTTATAATTTATCTAGAATTTACAGCGAAAACATATAAAAACACTTTTTTACACATTTAATACCTAAAACAAAAATGCCTCCCCGACGACCCTATAAGCTATACAAATAAATAATGTATTAACACTTCTCATGATCTCAGATGTCAGACGTACATAGATCATGTTGGAGAGTAGGACGTGCCACATTTATCATGTTCATCGCGGAACAACTTCCATTAACAGCATACAAAAGTTCACTGCCGAACATATGCCTCCCCATAGACAGCCTCATATCGCCATAGTTACCACGCAGGCAAACGGGCGGTAACAACTTAAAATAATAAAAAACTGCGGTTGCCCACCGCTCGCCAAGTAATACCACTTTAATGGATGGGATGGATGTCGATATTAAAATTCGGCGAAACCGTAATGCATCTAAGATATTAGGGAATATTTAACATCAACCAACAGCTACAAATCAAAATGTTACCAGTCTAAATCGTAGAAGCATGATTGAAGCTGATACTTGTAGCACTTATATAGTACCTCAATCATAGAAGACATGATAGAAGCTTATACTTGTAGCGCTTATATACTTACCTCAATCATAGAAGACATGATAGAAGCTTATACTTGTAGCGCTTATATACTTACCTCAATCATAGAAGACATGATAGAAGCTTATACTTGTAGCTCTTATATACTTACCTCAATCATAGAAGACATGATAGAAGCTTATACTTATATCGCTTATATACTTAACTCAATCATAGAAGATATGATAGAAGCTGATACTTGTAGCGCTTATACATTTACCTCAATCATAGAAGACATGATAGAAGCCGATACTTGTAGCGCTTATATACTTACCTCAATCATAGAAGACATGATAGAAGCTGGTACTTGTAGCGCTTATATACTTACCTCAATCATAGAAGACATGATAGAAGCTGATACTTATATCGCTTATATACTTACATCAATCATAGAAGACATGATAGAAACTGATACTTGTAGCGCTTATACATTTACCTCAATCATAGAAGACATGATAGAAGCTGATACTTGTAACTCTTATATACTTACGTCAATCATAGAAGACATGATAGAAGCTGATACTTGTAGCGCTTATACATTAACCTGTATCATAGAAGACATAATAGAAACTGATACTTGTAGCGCTTATACTAACCTCAATCATAGAAGATATGATAGAAGCTGATACTTGTAGCGCTTATATACTTACCTCAATCATAGAAGACATGATAGAAGCTGATACTTGTAGCGCTTATATACTTACCTCAATCATAGAAGACATGATAGAAGCTGATACTTGTAGCGCTTATACATTTACCTCAATCATAGAAGACATGATAGAAGCTGATACTTGTAACGCTTATATACTTACCTCAATTATAGAAGACATGATAGAAGCTGATACTTGTAGCGCTTATACATTAACCTGTATCATAGAAGACATAATCGAAGCTGATACTTGTAGCGCTTATATGCTTACCTCAATCATAGAAGACATGATAGAAGCTGATACTTGTAGCGCTTATATACTTACCTCAATCATAGAAGACATGATAGAAGCTGATACTTGTAGCGCTTATACATTTACCTCAATCATAGAAGACATGATAGAATGTAGAAGACATGTACCGCTTATATACTTAACTCAATCATAAAAGACATGATAGAAGCTGGTACTTGTAGCGCTTATATACTTACCTCAATCATAAAAGACATGATAGAAGCTGGTACTTGTAGCGCTTATATACTTACCTCAATCATAAAAGACATGATAGAAGCTGGTACTTGTAGCGCTTATATACTTACCTCAATTTCATTCCGACTGGGGAAAAGACGACAGAACATTTTGATGTGAAAACTTTTGAAGTAAAAACAGATGTGTGTGTATATATACGATATATATATGTCTTTTTGGTTGGGGAAAAAGCACTGAACTCGCTTGACCATCACGTTCAGATACATATAGCTATACAAATGTGTGTGTATATAATAGGTATACGTTCAAAATACGGATTTCCGGGAATAACCTACAACAAGGGATAAAATTAAAATTTTTGTACAAGCGACTTCAACGCAAATAAAATGAGAACATTATCAATATGTTCGAAGTCAATTAAAAACGGATTATTAGAGATAACTCTAAAACTACTGGTTAGATCTTGATCAAATCTATATGAGAGCACATGAGAAGCACCAGCTTTCAACTAATAAAAGCATAATCAAAATCGGTTCACCTAGAAAAAAGTTCTTGACGTAAGACACATAAAAATTCACTCTAATTGAAAAGGCGGTTGAAAATCATACTATCTGCCGATTTAGGACAACCCAGTTCCATTATTAGTCGCATGAAAAGTTGCGAATATGGCGATGTATACAATAAAAAGGCAGAGTGCCTTTATAAATACATATTCATAATGAAACCGAAAATGAAAAATAATTTTCCTTCTCGGCCATATGGAGAGAAGATAAAGATGCACTCACACGATGACCTTTTTCGAGGATGATTTGTTAAAGTCTACCAACACAAATTGAGTAACTTTAAAAGACGCTGTTGCAATCATTAAACAGATGTACAGCTTTGTTCACTATGGTCATGACGTTGATAATCAGAAAAACCAAATCATATTCAAACAAGTATCTATGATTTAAAACTACTGCTTCCAGAAAACATCGAGCCGAGCACGAGCGGAGCGTGAGCCGAGCACAAATTCATGTAGTGTGGGCCGACTTACAAGCCGCGAACGAGCGCGTTACGAGCGTTTGGTTCGTGCTCGACTGTTTTACTCGACTTTTATTAATAATATTTGTTTCTCTCGAGAACAACCCCAAGATTCCGACTATTATTGTACAGTCAGATTTTTGGGGTAATATTATAGATATTTTTATACGTGGTAGAGCCATGCTGCAGTTATATTGGACGTATAGTTGTAGCACGAATGGGTCGGCTCGACCGGGGAAGGGCTACGCTCTCACAGAATACCAGCGTGAAATACTTAGTAGCTTAATGCTGCTGTATTTCGTATGGTGAGTGTAGAGAACCCGAGACACTTTTTACTGGAAACGAGGCATTTCATCTTAGTCCTCACGGGTGACAACGCATCTGCAGCATATTGATTCGTAATCTAGGATAGATGTAAGTCTATGGGCCACAGCAATCACTTACCGTCAGGTGGACTGTGTGCTCGTTTGTCACCCTATCCTATATTAAAAAAAAATTGATCTTCCGATTTGACATTCCTAGCCTCATAGACATCTACATTTATCCTCGATTAAGAATTAAAATGCGTTGTCATCCCTTAGAGCTAAGATGGAATGCATTGTTTCCAGTTAAAAAGTTTCTCCGGTTCTCTACACTCATCATACGAAACAGCAATATGAAGCTGCTACTTTATGATGGTATTCTGTGAGAGCGAGGAGATAACCGACTCGATCCGAGCTATTCGTTCTACAACCATAATATAGCTGCAGCGTGATACCGTACACATACGTATATGTTACTGTTACTGTTACCGTTACAGCTTACTAAAGTCCACTGCTTAACATAGGCCTCCCCCATAGAGGGGATGGCAAACATCCCCCATCATAGGGGGGATGTTTGCCATAGTTTCCACGTATGTGTAATATTATGTAATTGATTTCTTGAAAACAGTTCTAACGAATTGGATGAAATTTCGTATTTAGCTATTATTAATAATAATTTACTTGCAGAAACAGAAAGTGTGGTTATATCTCGTGGTAATTTTTTACTCTGCTTATCTAAATACGTTTCAACACTGAGAAAATTATTTTTTAACGCCGAGCAAAGCTCGGTCGCCTTGGTACTTTAATTTTAGATTCTAATATATTATAATGATGAGTTAATCTTAAATTCTAATATATTATACAAAGTGCTGGAGGATGAAGAAAGTGGACAACATGTACCAGCAATATAATATATTCCGAGAACGTATACCTTTTTACATTAAAATGTGAAGATTCATTTCATAAATATTAAGTAAGGAATTTATATTGAAGAAAGTTTCAAAGACAAACAAAATCTAATGTGAAACGAAGTTACCTCGGTACCATTTATTCAGGTGCATTATCATCTTATAGAACTAAAATATTCTGTCTTATTAACAGTTATTGTGTTGCTCCGTTATGGTCAATTAACAGGGAAAACATGAAAACGTGGTTACAGTATGAATTTATCTCATTGAATTATATAGATTATTTTCATTAAAGTAAGGGCCATACAGCCACTTGCCTTACGGATATATTTAACTTCTATGACTCATATAATAACGTCCTCCAAACCGAATTTCGGCCACGGCGGCCAGTCTCAACGAAGACTAGCCATCTACGCAGGACAGGATTATAGTGCCCGAGTGTATGCGCAAGCACAGGTGCACTCTCTATTCTCTCATTCTCATAATCCGATGGGACGATAAACCGACACGACCGGAGAGAGATCAGGCGCAGGACCAACGGCTTAACGTGCTTTTCGAGGCACGGGGGTGAGACACCGCCAACTTTCTGATTCTCCGGGCAGCTACTGGGAATTTCTTAACGGAAAAACCCAATAATTAATTTTTTGGCCCGTACCCGAAATTCGAACCCAGAACCTCATGATCAGCAGTCGCACTAGTACAACCACTAGACCAACGAGGCAGTTATAACTCATACACACCTTCATCCATTCTCCATTTTTCATTCCATTAAGCATAAAAAGGCAGATGCATTGTCATCCTTGAGATAGTTCTCAGGGATGACAGCGCATCTGATCTCAAGGATCTCTCTCTCTCTCTCTCTCTCTCTCTCTCCTTATGGAATGACTTGAGCTTATATAAGATTAAAACCTTCCTCCGGTTCTTGTCACTCATTGTATTAAAATAGCAGAAATATGCTGTTATTTTACGTTGATATTTTAAAATCCCATTCTCCCCCGACTGAATCGAATCATTCAGCTATATTACGGCTGCAGCATGACTCACCCACGTATAGTGTCTCCACTGTTTTCTCTTATTAAACGTACCAATAAATTTTTTCTTAATTCCTCTTCTCTCTGCCCCACAGATATACTGTCATATTACAAAAAGTAGTAGAAAATTAACCGAAGTTTAAATAACACTACGTTGTGAGTCACGCTGCATTATTTTCACTAAATTGTGGAAAACAGACCAATAAGAAGCCGATATGTTATATAAAGCAGTGTCACAGGTACTAGGAAAAATAATGTTATAAATTATTCTAAAGTAAGAATTTCCTAAAGAAAGAATAAAAATAATTTTAACATAGCACAATAACGCTAACGTTTTTTAATTAACATTTTCGTTATTCAACTCCACTTCCGAATTACATGATGAAGCTAAAAATCGACAATTATATAATATGTCTACATAGCGTACTATCATTTATTGTAACATAGCTTAAGCTATTGATATTCCTCAGAACTTTCTGTAAAATTTCACAGAATACAATATACCTTTTTGTACTGATTGAACTAATCGATATTATTGAGGCATGGCTTGAATGCAGTATTGTGGACACGGAAACAATAATAAGTTTGCAAGATAATCATTCGTCGACAAATGATATTAAATAATCACTAGGCCTTCTAAAAATTCACGATTCGAAAATATTATTGATAATAATTTACGTTCAGAAAGTCTGGTTATATCTCGTGGTAATGTTTCACTGGTGGTGTTATTTTTATCGATGGCCTCCTAAAAGTCCACCTTTCGAAAATATCTGTGTTTATGTTATAGTAAAATTTAAGTGCAATAAATGTGTTACATAATGTTGCGATTGAATTTTATTTAAATGACAGTAGGTATCATAGTTTTTTTTTTAAATAAAAGGAATAATAAATGCATTGCATAACATAATCCATATAATTAAATTATAGATGCTATTTATGTATTGCAATGATTGTGCTTCTTTTATACCACGTTTTTTAGTCACTTTCTTGTTTGTCTGTCGTTCCGTGAGATTTAGTATTGATTTAAAACTAACTTTCTAATGAGCTGGGCACTTGATATTTTGAATAAAGCTCAATTTCGGATGAAAATGCAAGAATATAAAAGGACGTCGTAGAACAGAGAAAAATCTTCAGAGAAAGATCTTTGTTAAAAAGTTGTAATTGAAAATATAGTTTCGAATACTTACAGCACATTCGGGCTCGGGGATGTACGATCCATTGCTGAAGTATTTCTTCGGACATTCAGACCAAGGCAGCTCCGCTTGGAAGCTTTGCGCGAAGTAGAACAAACACCAGGCTATGATAGAGTTGTAGTACAGTGCAACGTTGAATGAGACCACAGCTGAACTTATCCCAATACCAGCAAGATATGGCGACACTTGATGCCAAACGCCAATAGCACCTTTCCGCAGACGTTGCCCGATGGCTAACTCCAGATAAAATATTGGTATGCCTTCAATTGCCAACATTACAAAGTAAGGTATTAAGAATGCACCACCACCATTTTTCTGTGCCAGGTATGGAAATCGCCATACATTACCCAGCCCAACTGCGTAGCCAACGGTGGCAAGGAGAAAAGTGAGTTTACTGTCCCACGACTCTCTCTCGCATTCTACCCCTTCGGGCTTAACAACTCGATCCTCACCAGAACTAGCTTTACTAGTTGGAGTCTCTGAAGATTGTCTGTTGGGACTGGTGTCTTCGAAAGCCTCATTAGTTGCACCATACATGACATGAGTACGGTGTGATGGATGACCGTTCTCCATAGTAACTAAACGCCCACGCAATTCCTTCATCTCCATTCTATCCAGGGACCGTTGGGCATAAAGATCCCGCGAGCTCTGCCGCCTCATTAAATGAGCAGTATTTGCCATATTTATTTTTTATTTTGTGTTTATTGTCAAGATTACTTTATTTATTGTCGTAAAATTATTGTATATATATTTATTTGATAATTTTATTCGTTTTCGTTGTCATGACACATTATAATCATTAATATGTTGTAACATATGATAGCTATTAATTCATGAAACATATGATATGAAACAATATTACATTTCCGATATTCTAATTTAAAACTAATCATTTTTATTTACGTAACTTAATATATCGATATTTTTTCACATCACTAATTGATTCTGTGATTCTGAGTGGTTAGTGCTGCTGACAGTTATTATAGTTTTTCCTCGTACTCCCGTGACCGACTGGCGATCGTCCCGAGTTTCGGACGTCACTGGCGGGAAAAAACGAGAAGTGGGAGACAAAGTACCACCATTTTGTTCACGCATGCGTCTTTTCACGCCCTTTGTACCTGAAAGAATCATTTAGTGAAAGAGGATATAAGGATAGGAAAAAATTATGTTGTTACAGACTTATACCATGAATTGATGTTTAGCCTCCTATTTCAATAAGTGCTTCTAAACATATTAAACAGCTGAACATATATAATACATAACAACGAGTATTATTGAAAACTCTTACTGAAAAATATTGGTACTCATAATTGTCATATTTAAATTAAACAATAATTAATGTGAACTATAGTATAACATTTTCATACATTTGTAATTTAATTTGCTTAATAAATATTATAAACGAACTAAACTAAATGATTTACGATTGTTTTTTTTTTAAATAAAGCCGATATATCGATATTTTTTCGATATATCAAACTCTGATATTGACTTATTTTATATTAACTTGTGGTATATAAAACTGCTCTCATCGATATATCAAAAATACGATAGATAAGAAAGATAGAACGATCAGTTGAATTGACCGTGTGTGTGGAAATTTCTTAGGCTTAAATCCGTTCGAATTGATATCAGTTCCACTGATTACTTTAACTGACCGTGTGTGGCGTCCATTAGATCTTAAAAACATGTCGGACCACGAATAGTGTGTAGTAATGAACGTAAATAGAAGCATTCAGCGTTTTTTGGGTGCACGGTGTAGACTCTCCCTATCGTATTACTCTGAAACACTCCGTCATATACTTGCACTGGCATTCCACGTTTTCGAGGGATAAATCTTTTACTTGATGTATCCCAAGTGTAATCAGATGGTACTTCCAAGTGAAATTAAGTTTTAGCAAATGGATCTTCTCGGCATAGCTCAAAAATCGCTGTCAAAAATTGTTCTTGTTGGCGATTCTGTTACAACTTTTGCTGCAGTTTCTTTAGTAAAGAAGACGCGTTGTCCGTTTTCTGAGTGAACAGATAGATGGACGACCACTGAATCGCGATTGTATATTGAAACCCAAAATTCACCAAATTGCTTCATTTGCTTGATGTAACGACCCATTTGGTACTGTATTGTTTCACCGTGTTGGTTTTCTTGAGGTACAGCAAAGACAGGGCCGTATCACTGTCCTTGTTAAAATATAGTTGGATACGTATTTGACAGATTTAACAGAACTGCAGTATTCGTATACATTGATGTGAGCTTTGATTAGGTAAAATGAACATAGTGTTTATACACAAACAATAACAGCTAACACTATAAATTAATTTTGAACACAATAAAATAGTTAATGTGTCATAGGCCTTAACCCAGTAATGCCCGAATTTTTTTATTTTTTTTAAGTTTGGATATATAATATTGTTCAATGATGGGTTCTTATCAACTTAGCATAAATTTTATTTTTCCAAATATATTAGAAGTTGGCGAAAATTCACGTGTCCAAATGAACACACTAAGCGCTTACAATAGCTAAGGATTTGAGAAATTTATCTTGAAGTATGCAGTTAGATAAAAAGAAACAAAAACATTATAACGGTAGGTGTTTATTACTTCTGGTGATACATTGCAAAACATGGTATACATAGGCCAACGTCACACTTCATACATTCTGTTCTTACAGAAGAACTCTTTGATTTGCAGTACGGGCCGACGCATCTTCTTTTTTTTACACACTTTCGAACGTAATGATTTATGCTGTCAAACCGCGCTGTATCAGCCAGTTTGGACGTAGAAGGTCTGCCTGCACCTTTAGCAGCTATGCCATAAGTTTTTAGGTAGGTAAGAACAATTTCTCTTCGAAATTCCAGCTGTGGCATCTTATCTTTCTTTCTCTGAAGTTGCCAAGCATTATGCACGCATGCATCTAGCATCCAAGTAAATAGCGACCAGTACCACTTCTTTCCTCTGATGTGTATCCTATACATGTTTATATTTTCATCCATCCTGTCAACTCCACCCATATATTTATTATACTCACCCAGAAGAAATGGTCGTGGCACTTGAACAAATGATTTATCTTTTTGGGAATACCGTTTCACGGTAGTCAGCGGTTGCACGCCCAAATTGTTAGATGCGATGCAAACGATTGAATTATCCATCCATTTTGCTACAAGGACACCATCTTCTTTGCTAATCGCAGATTCATAATAACCTCTTGGCTTTTTCTTCAACATTTTATTCGAAGTCAATTTTTGACACTTCTGCAGGCGGTTTTCCCGCACTGTGCCTGTAGCTCCATATCCTTGCTGTCTAAAGTACATAGTTCAGAAGATTCAAGCTTGTAAAAAGATTGTCAAAGAAAAAATGATAAGGCATTTTCTTTTTTTCATCGGTAAACTCGTCGATAAATGTTAGAAGAGGAGTGGCACATTTTCCAAAGTGCTGTTCATAAAGTGGATTGGCATTTGGAACCTTGCCTTGATAAACTTCAAAATTTATCAAGTAACCATCTGGAGTACACAGGCTCCATATCTTGTAGCCGAACCGGATGGGTTTTCCTCTGATAAATTGCTTACAGGAATGCTGGCCATAATATTTGACCATAGTTTCGTCGAATGACAGATTTTGTTCAGGGACAAAATGTTTCATAAAATTAGCCTTTATTTTATTTACTAAAGGGCGCAACTTCCACATTTTGTCATTCACGTCTAATTCATTATTATCGACACAATGCATGAATCGCATTATCTCCTCAAATCTGTTGCGCCGCATAGAGTTGCAAATAAGCTCATTGCGGGTATCTATCTCCGTGCTCCAATAGAGCCGTCTGTTAGCATTGGGCGAATACCCACTCAAAATGAGAATAGCAATAAAGCATCGCATTTCAGCAGCTGTGATCTTAGGATCAGGGCAGTTTTTCCATAAAGCATAGCGATTTGATTGCAGAATAAACATGTCAATAATGTCGTGATCAATAAAAAGCTCAAACAAATCGACGGCTGATTGACTAGCGATGTCAGTTGCAATCTCTGGAAATGATCCCAAAAATGGTTCTAAGGTTCCATCGATCCATGTTCTCGCTTTTCTGCCACAAAGATCGTCAAAATGAAGAGTGTCTCTGTAAGTTTGGTATCGTTGCTCAAACCTTACCTCCGCACCAGCTGTTAATTGCCGAGCATTCAAGTTCTCGGCTCTTCCACCACTATCTTCGTCACTTGAATCCTCGTCCGTCAAAATAGCTGGATCAGGAGGAGCTATAAAAATTGATTCTGGTATCGGAGATTCACCAGAACCTTCTTCATCTTCGCACAATATATCAAGAATTTCATTTAGGGAGCCGTTACCCAGAAATTGGTTGAAATCGAAGAATCTGAAAATAATACATTACTTTTTGTAATGCAATGCTTAGTGCCTAGCGTGTCCTTATGGACACGGCAACTTCAGTGTTATAAATATTATGCTAAATCAAATCTAAGCAATATTTTACCATTTTGTAGACATAACTCTTAGTAATTTAGCACAAAAATAACATAAATAAAACCAATATTTTGAAAATAATATTACTTACTCTCTTCTCGGATCCATATTTCACCGTAACTGAGATTAGCGGCAATTAAATGATTAAACCCGCGAATCAACATTATATTATGACAGTGACAGTGACATGTAATGAAACTTTGACATTTAGTGGTATAGTATAAACAATGCAATGTTTAAAATTAAATAAAGTGTAGCCATATTAAGCATTTAAATTTACCCATATTTTTGTGTCCATATGGACGTGCTAGGCATTACTGGGTTAACAAATAACTCGCCACATTCATTCAATTTTGACCGAAGTAACGATGGTCTGCTTAGCTTTGGTACGAATACTTTTGCAACTACCGTATTTACTTATATGTAATATTTACTAAATAAGTTATTAAGCACTCAATTAGAAAATAAGTTTTAGCGACCTATTATAATACTAGCTCACTACGCCAATCGGCTTAATGTTTTTTTTTCTTTATAATGTGTATTTTCTCTGTAAGTGATTTGTAAATCTTTTGAGAAAATAAATGTCTTAAACCATAATGTCGAAGTTTTGCATATAAGTTTATTTATGGATATATCGAAAACCCGATATTTTAAAAAATATCGGATTTTCGAAACAGTTTTAGTTTGAACTGATCGGTTGGAATGATAGGTTGAACTGACCGTGTGTGGCCGCCATAAGAAAGGTCGCAGGGCCACGTTGTATAATGTAGACACACACAAAAAATGTGTGGTATCGACGTTAGTAAGACTCACAAGGTGGTCGTTGCATCACTACCGTAAAACTTATTTAGTACTTACTACTTACTATTAAATTAGTGAATGTCACCAATCATGAAATTAAAACGGCCTTTTGTATAATTTATTTCACCATTATACCTATTTTTAATCATTAATTTGCAGTGGTAACTTGACCGCTGACGGATTTTGCACTGTTGTCTCAAATGGATTAGATAATTATATATTTGAATCTCTTTGAGATAAATAAAGTTGTGTGAATTTGAATTCAAATGTCCGCGCTTGTAAATTATTGCATATGTACATATGTTTGTAATTACTCTAAGTAAGTTATTTGCGGCGTATCTATTGTGCCTGTTTCGGTACCTTGGGATATCACCATATTTCATAAATTGTTGTCAAAAACTCACAAAAACTTTGG